TATATATATATATATATATATATATATATATATATATATATATATATGCAAATAAATAAGCTGAGGTTTTAGACAAACACAGACAAATCTAGAGAAGAATTAGATGCTAATATATTTTCTAATGGTTTATTGCTGGGCAGCCAACTTACTTTTGGTTCTAAATATTTCACGATTGGTGGAGTAATCCAATAGGAATTGACTCTCACATTTCCATTATGATGATATCAATTATCAAGGAATCCTGAAAATCTCAGGTCACTTAGATCTATTAGCAAATGTTTTCCACAAAGTTCTTTCCACATGGTACACCAGATAAATTAAATTTTCTTTATGCAATAACCTTCCCAGTTTTTCTATTCAAAGGTTTGACTAAGTATAGAACTGCTTATAATGAATAAACTGTCAGTGAAATCTAAGGTCACTTGTGCCTTTATTTCAAAGAAAGTTTCTTGGAAAAAAAAACATTTCCTTTTTTTTTTTGGGTGGGGGGGGGAGAACCTAAATCTGTTTACATCAGGCCTGCTAAAAAGGAAATATACGCTAAAGAGAAAAATAATTTTAATAAGTAATAAGTTAGGTTTTCAATACATATGATCTCAGATAAAGTGATGATTGATAGATATTTTTGAAGAAAGTGTTTAATTCTGTGCTAGTTAATTCAAGTTTGATCATCTTTTATAGCTAGAAAATATCCCTGTCTCACACACATGTATATATAGACACCAATTCTAAGAAATTATTTTAGAAAATGCAAATGCAAATAAAATTATTTTTTTTCCAGTCAATCAAGCCAGGTAATTAAGAAAGCATATGATTTCCCACCACCACCAATAATTCTCTCTGCTGATGGAAATCAGCTATCAATTAGATTGAGAAAAGCATGAGTTTTTATAATTTCCCCCACCTCTTCTCCAGATATCAGGGACTGGATAGAACACCTGGAATAGTTGTACAGGAAAGAAAATTACTAAAAGTCATATCTGTTGTAAACAGAATTAATGGAATTCGTGGTAAGGTTTCAGTCCTTTACATTTTTATTATATACTTTGCACACTTACTGTTAAACATAATACAGCGTATTTTCAAATTAAGATGATGAAAAGTGAGTGTTTTTCAAAATTTGATATGCCTGAAAAGTAACAGTTATCTCAGTCATGAGAAGTTGTATAATCAAGACAAAAGGAGATTTGTACACATGTACATTGCATATCCCTTTTTATATAAGAATAGTGTTGAAAAATACCTACATTTGTGGCTGGATTCAATGGACATGCTTTTGCATGGCCATAACAGATGCACATTCCTCCCGCTGAGATGTCTTTCACAGAATAATAATACTGAAAAGAAAATTAAAAAGAAAGATATATGTCATTATTATGTTGCAAACTGAAAATAAGAAAGTATCATTTTGGTACCTAATCAAGAGCGTTTAAAAAGATGGGAGCAAATATATGCACAAAACTCAAGAAATAAATTTACACTGTGCAGTATTTCATTACTATGAAAAATAACCCAATAATAAGGTTCTAGGTCTTTGGGTACATGAACTTATTATACTCCTTCTGCATTCCTATATGGGTTTTCCCATATCCCAAACAAGAGTATGCTGACATTAATTATGTTGAAATACTGTGGGCAAGGGAGAAATTTTCCCCAAATCTTTTTTCCTTTATAGTTTTTTATGTTGAAAATGGACTCAGTGAGTCAGGACATTGGAGATGATTCAGTAAGTTTCAGGGGAAAAAATCATCAAATATCTCCTCTTTCTTGAAAATTGTCTCTCTGTAGCTCCTACCATGTGAAGAAATCTTCTTTATATAGAATGAATATCAGGAATTATCTCCAGTCATCTCTAAAGCGAGGCAAATTAATTAATAGTGTATGTTTAAAAGTGAAACTTTACAACTGTGCCTTCAGTTGTTCATTAAATTTCACTAATCCACTGGTTAATATAAAACTTCCTGTGGCTATTAAAACATTTACTTGCATTTCTTGCATCATTTTCTTGCACAAGAGTCACGCTTTATGATCCTTTACAGTAAAAATGGCCATCAGGGATCAATAATGCATATATTTAGATGACCTGAGAATAGAGCATTCATGACCTCCAGTTCATTCATAGAGCCATATTTCTAAGAGGGATGATTTGAAGCATTATTACTGCTTTCTAAATCGTATGATTAAATTCCTCTGGCTTTCCATAAAGGCATTCAGGACAGCACTTCAAGTATTTGCTATTATTAAGATGTGCCAATCTTAGCAAAAGAAGTGAAAAGAAAATATTTTTAAAACATTGTATAAGTACTACTTTATATAACTTGGTATAAAGTGATACTTTACAACTGTGACCTGGAGCACAACAATTTTTCCAGATCTTTAAGATTGGGCAAAAACAACAAGAGAAAGATTGTCCCCTAGGTAACCAGACCTTGGTGCTACAGAGCTTTAGAGATCACAGCTAGCACCTTAAATTGCATCCAGAGGCTCATCAGTAGCCAATGCAGCATACAAAACAATAGTGCTACATGGCCCAAACAAAAAGCTTCTATAACAACTTACGCAGCAGTGCATTGGACCAGTTGTACCTTCTGATCTTCAAGAATAGATAATTTTCTGCAAAAGGTATATCAACAAGAAAATTCTATGGCAGAAAATATATCACCAACTATATTCTCAAGTTATCTACATGAAGGCACCTATATATTAACCATGGAGGAGAACAGCAAGGTTCCTCTTCTCTTCCAACACTGATTTTCTTCAGACAAATCCCAATCCTAATGATGTGTCATCAGGAAGGACACATTGGGTGCAGAGATTTATAATGGTACCTCTGTCATTAGCAGTAGTTTACAAAGAGTGGTGCTATATGGTTTGGAATAGAGTGAAATTGATTATCAGAGTGAATTGTCCATCACTGTCCCTGTTCTTGGCTTTTTGATACAAATATGATGGGAAACATGAAAAAAAAAACCTCCAAAAATATATTTCAGCCTTAAAAATTTATATATACTCATCCTGCTATTTTTCTTTAAATGAGCATATCAAAGAGAAATGACTATTTCAGAAAATTCAAAAACTGATGCTTCATTAGTAACTGATGCTTATTTCAATTCAATTCAATAAGCCTTTTGGATTCTAAGAAAAAAAAGTACTGCAAATGCACATTCTAGCATCTTTGCCAGGACTTACCCTCCTTGTGACTATTGGATCAATTTCATTGAGATCTCTGTGTGCAAGCATCATTAAATCCGCATTTAGTGTCCGTATCCTTTGAAATCTTAAGCGAATATAACGAGCTGATGTAAACTCCAATAGTGTTGGAGAAGGATCATCTGCACTTGGTCGCCCATTGATTAAGGATGTATGAATCTACAAAGTAGAAGAAATAAGGAAAATGGTTAGCTAATATTATTCACTCAAAAATGATCACATTTGCAAAGTGGATGTAGGACTCACAGTAGAGAAATAAGTATGGTTGCAAAATGTTTTTTTTTTCCCCTTTCTCATTTATATCTTTGCTTGTATTTATATCTTTGCTTGTATTTTGTGATGTTTTTCTGCTTCCTGGATCAAGGCAGGTTGTGGCCTGTATGTGAGGCATCCAGCCCATGGGCCATCAGTTTGACACCCCCATTCTACAACCTTACAGGATAATCTAATGTAGCCAATTTCAGAAAAATCTGATCTTTTTTTAATTAGGAGAAAGATAATTTTCTTTTGGAGGAGAATGTGAGAAGAAACCTTCTGGATATCCAATAAAAGATAATATATGTAGTTGAGGGTTGAACTGTGGAAGCATTGATGCTCTCTGAGCATGGTTCTTTGCTTGTAGTGTTTCATTACTTTACTAGGATACCAAGGACAAAAACACATGTCACCAATACTGGCAGGGAGAGCAAACTCCATATTCACTAGCACTGGATGATACCTAGCATAAGACCCAACCAGAAAATAAGCCCTAGCATGATTGTTCAGGATGCTCATAATATAAACCCTACCCCTAGAATAAGCCCCAGTTAAGAACAGAAGCCAGATGGATGCCTTTAGTATTATATATCCCTGAAAATAAGACCTAACTGGAAAATAAGCCCTAATGCATTTTTGGGAGCAAAGATTAATATAAGGCCTGGATATATATATTTGAAGCAAACTAGGAAAATTTTTTGGTATTTTTGACCTCTTCTATTATACACCACAGAATAAAACCTACTGTACAGTATACTTGCCTGTAAATCACAAATTGTATTTTTCCATTTTAAAAATTATGTTATATTGTGTGTGTGTGTGTGTGTGTGTGTGTGTGTGTGTGTGTGTGTATATATATATATATATATATATATATATATATATATATATATAT